CTGCGTCAGGTCACAGCATGTCACATCGTCGATTATTCAGATTGCTACATTCAACATTCCACCATTAAATGCATCAGTCACTATAACCAGGAGTGTGCGATCACTTTGAGACTTTTTATGAAATTAGTAATTGTCACATGCATTCCTTAGCCATCGAACAAGTTACGCTGAGAGAGCACGTGGTAAGTGCCAACCTGCGATCTCTCAAACTATTTCTCAGAAACAGAATACATGTACGGCAGTACACACCACTAAAGATTGTCACATAACCCAGTTGCACTCGAAAATGGCGCGGGTCATATTCCTCTCAAAACACCGAATACGTAAATGCTGACCTGCACGTCTAAAATGCTTCCTTTCATCAGCTTCCAATCATTTTTATTGATGCAAATGAAGGCGCCTAGTTATACGCTCCCGCGGGAATCGTTGTGGCTAAGTGGCGTTTAAATATTTTATGTATTTTTTTATTTGTTGCTACTTTACGGGCTTTTATTCACTCCGAAGGGGGGTAGAAAATAGTTAAAACAATATGGAGTAAAGTATTTTCGAGTTTTCAATTGGAGCAGTCAACACATTATCAACGTAAACAATAAAGCTATTGAATGGAGTGGTCTTTGGCCATTGAATGGAGTCAATTAGGCAATTGAGAACCAGGAAATAAGCAGTGAACAGCAATTATTAGATAATATTTTTCAAAGTCAGTGTTTATGAATTAACAGCAAATCAAAATGATTAATACAAACGAAACTATAGAGAGGCTGCGCATGTGTTTGCTATCACATGAAAGATAAAAAAGGGAAGCTCCATTCGTGGACCTATGACGCTAGCACTGGCAGAACAATTGAAACGGAAAGCACTTGAACACGAGAAGTAAGAAAGACAAAAAGGCGGTCGCCAATCCAAGGACACCAGCCAACCAACCCATAGAGCAGCCACCTATCACAGAGCAGACGCTAAAATCATCACCATCACAGCTACAACGCAGGTCCAAGATGCCACCTCTGCCGTTCGATGACATTGAGATTGTCTACCGCCCGCAAGCCGGTCTTGACCTCCCAAATGAAACACCATCGCTGTCACGCAAGCCATCGGCAGAGCGAGTGGACCGTCACCGCAACACATTAACGACAAGGTAAGCCTACAAGTCCAGATAATGGAAAGCCTTATCATCGCAAGCACCGCCGCCAAAGAAGACGCCATGAAGCTGGTAAGCATCCAGAAAATACAGCTTGGAGGAAATTTATACGCTGTGAACGGCCAAGTACGCACTCCGGAGACGTCTCCAGAAGCGTCATCACTGGCTCAATACCTGGAACAGGCAACGCAGAACTCATGGCTGGAATCCGCGCACCGGCACGATACACCGTTCTTAATGCCCTAATGCTGGGTCAATCGTCCGCGGCAGTTGTATTCTTCGAATGACCGCATGTTCCCTTCTACATAATCTTCCAGAGCGTAGACTTCCGATGCAGACCATTACGCAAATCCGTTCAATACTGCTGAACCTGTGGCAACGCGGGACGCCGTCAAGACATCTGTCCAAGGCCTGTCCCAGATTTCTGCTACAAATGTGGCAATGCTGGACAAAGCAGGGACATGAGTGCAAACCCACTTGCAAGATCTGCGGAGAAGGGCACGAAACTACAAGCAAAGAGTGCAAGAGGAGACTAAAGCCAAATCAACCACCCTACAATATAAGACAACAGCACCTCAACAGGATACAGTAAATAGACAACCAGTGGAGCTCCATTGGAGAAGAGTTCCCCTAGCTTAACACCTCTGTAGCTAGATCAAGCAGTAGGAGCAGAACCAGCTTGCCCAGGCGCAGTAAATCCAAGTCCATCTTGCGACCTACTTCACGCTCCCACTCTCGCAAGCGCTCGCCATCAGCCAAACGAACGAGCTACGCCGCCATGGTAAGCGACTCGAGTGGTAGCAGCAGCTTTACCTCTACATCGCCAGAAACCACATCCATAGAGGCCTTCAAAGATAGACTGCAAAACACCAGCAGAGGTAGCTCCAGAATCAGCATGGCCAATTGCAAAACCAACAAAGTCTTATTGACAAGCTGCTTCAGAGTAAAAAAAGACAACAAGAGCTCATAGACAAACTACTTCGAAAATGCCAGGAGCAGCGAAAAAATCTGAAAATGTGCAACAACAATGCCAAGTAGTAGAAGACACAAGCTTGCAGCCGGGCAAGATGCTGCCTAAGGTGGACATCCAAGCTCTTGTGGATGCTAGGTGCGCGATATTGCAGGAAGCTTTTATGAGAAACATCCACGCCACGATGGAAAAGATTGTCCAATCAACAATCGAAAAAACGGCCACAACCTTTGAACAGAGAATTACCACGCTAAATGCCAAGATTGACGGTATCACTGCCCAATTAAACTATTTTATTGCACACATGAAGAAAACTTATGTCACCGTGGCACAGCTCGACACCTTCGGCAACTCACGCCAACTCAATCGAAAAAAGGTGCAGGCGAACAGCCACAACGCCTCTCGTTCAGTCTTACCCACTCCCGATCACCGACGTGACGTCGAATCAATCGAAGATGGTGAGCCGTTACCATGAGTTAAAAACACAGCAATCAACTATACGCATATGGCATGGAACTGTAAATCGTGCCGTCCACGACATACGAGCCTTCAAGAATTCATCAAGTCTAACCAACTCCACATCATCCCACTCCAGGAAACCAACACCCAGGACTGCAAGGATACACGACCTGTGCCCAAACCCAACGCACTGCCATACGCGTCAAGAAAACTCAGTGCAAAAACATGATGTCGAGCAAACACAGACGAAGCACATCCTCATAGAACTTCTGCCAGAACGAAAGACGCAAAAACATTTATTCATAGCCAGCGTGCACAGCCCCTCTCGAGACCAACTACCAGATTTCTATCACTTCGTACGAGAACTCAGGAAGCGCACAAAAGGCCACCAGATCGTCATAGTGGGAAACTTCAATGCCTCACACACGGCATGGGGCTATCATATCACCACGAAGAAAGGCTCTAGGGTGCACGATGTCACCCAGCACCACGGACTAACATTGTGGAACGACCCTCTCCAGAAGACGAGAAGAACAAACAGCATATTCAGGGACACCAATCCCGATCTCACCTTGACGGCGAACGTCATCCCGGGCAGAGTGGAGTGTGCTACCAGAAACCTTAGGCAGCAATTACCATATCCTTCAACTTGACGTAGCGCACACTCGTCGCCAGACCAAAACAGGAATAGCACGCTTAACGGCATGAAATTTCTACAGGGATGACCTCGCTGTTGAAACCGCTATAACTGACACTGAAAAGTGGTTCAACAATGTTTTAGATACATACGAACGACACACTAAAACATACAGCTCAACAGCGATATGCCCGCAGTCGATGCCCATCTTCCGCACCTCTGGGAGGCTAGGAGAGGACTTCTCAGGAGGTGGAAGCGGCAAAAGCTTAACAGGAAGCTTCAGCGACACATCGCTCTCCTCACCAAGCAAAGTCAAGATTATGCCAACCAGCTCGCCAGCCAGAACTGGCATTCTTTTTGGGACAAGCTACAGGGAATTCTCAGCACCAAAAAAACCTGGCACCTGCTACGCTCTCTCATTGGCATGCAACCCTCCAAAGCGGCACAGAAGCAGCATCTTCACAAGCCTACTCAAAACTACGCCGGATCGGAAGAACATCTCTTTCAAGAATTGGTGAAAAAGCTTTGCGGAGACGCACCCGCTGTCGCGTCATTTAACACCAAGGAATATGCGGAACACCAAAGCCTGACGATGGCCGGCCCTTCACGCAAGCGGAACTTTACGCTGCCCTATCAAAGTTGACAAGAAATACCAGTCCCGGAAAAGACCGAATCGTCAACCTTACTGCACCAGGCCATTAAAGCTGTTCTCTAATATTACAACGGTTGCTGGGAGAAAGGAGAGCTGCCTGCGGTTTGGAAACACTCGGAGATCACCATGATTTCCAAGCCTAACAAACCTATCCGCATTGATAACTTGCGCCTGATTTCCCTCTCCTCGTGTGTGGGAAAGCTATTTGAGTATATGGCATATGACCACTTGACCCTGCACCTAGAAGATAATGAGCACCTACTAGATACGATGTTTGGCTTCAGACAGCTCCTCTCGACGCAGGACGTGCTTTTACTACATAAAGAAGTTGAGTATATGGCATATGACCGCTTGACCCTGCACCTAGAAGATAATGGGCACCTGCTAGATACGATGTTTGGCTTCAGACAGCTCCTCTCGACGCACGACGTGCTTTTACTACTTAAAGAAGACCTTCTTGATCACCTCAGTCACCGAACCAAGTACTCAATATTTGGAGTCGATGTCGAAGGGGCCTTCGACAACGTAAGCCATGACGCGATCCTCATGAACCTTGAAAGAAGCGGCTGCGGCGTTAGGACCTACACGTATGTCCGAAACTTTTTGATGGACCGTACAGCAACTTTGGACATCTGGAACATCCGCAGCAAAAGCTCCCAACTACCTAAAAGAGACGCGCCACATGGTTTGGTCATGCCACCGCTTGTGTTCAACGTGGCCTTGATCAATCTGCCTAAGGTTCTCGATAAAATACCAGATGTATGGCACGAGATCTACGCTTACGACATCACGCTCTGGACCAAGGCTTCGAGCATCGGGAGACAAGAGAGCTGCTTACAAGATGCCGTAAACACCACCGAAAGGTATCTCCGATACTGCGGCCTCAACTGTGCCCCAAAAAGTCTGAGCACATTTTACTCAAAGCAAGAACGAGAGGCAGGCCTCCCATATACGAAGAGCCCGACCCTTGCGTCACCCTCAACATGACAGATATTCCGAAAGTTGATAAGCGACGGGTGCTCGTACATCACATACACGAAAATAGATCGGGAGTGGCCACGATACCGAGACTCCATAGGACTCTCTCGGAGCTCACGCACCTCGTCAAGAGGATCGCAAACCAATGCAATGGCCTTAAAGAACACGA